ACCACAAACCAAGCTAGATGTGGAGGATTAATCAGGGATGATCAAGGAAGATGGTCCAAAGGCTTCACATATGCCATCGGGGCTTGCTCGATCGACGCCGCAGAAGCGTGGGCACTCCTGAGAGGTATTCAATTAGCCATCACTCTGAGACTGAATATGGTTTGTTTCGAAAGTGACTCCATGAAGATAGTCAGAGCTGTGAACCAAAAAGGGGTTGTGGACAATGTTGCAAGAAACATTATTCATGCATGCAGGCGAGAACTTAACAACATAGCTAACTGGACCATAATGTACGTTCCCAGAGAACAAAATCGAGCAGCAGACTATCTAGCCAACTTATCCAGTCCACATGCCGGCCTAAAGATCTATGATGAGGCCCCAGATGATCTCAAGATAATCCTAGAAGAAGACAAAGCCGGTATTCCAGTCTGGAGGCAATTAGATAATCCTATTATGTAATTTGGGTTTCCCCCTTCCATATTTTCTAAAAAAAAACTCAAGGCTATTCTTTTTATTGCAATACTCTCTCACTTTCAAAAGTCGGTAATTCTTTCATTATTTTTTCTATATCCCTACAATACACCAATCGTTATATTGTGCATTATGCACCTTAGCCCAAAACGGCGTTGTTTTTATAAGTTGTGTAGGGAGTTGACGCGACGGACACCGTTCCGTCCGTCCAACCTGTATTCTGTTAAGAGTTTATGTGTATTCTGTTAAGAGATTCTGTGTATTATGTTAAGATTTTGTGTATTATGTGTATTATGTATAATGTTAGATTATGTGTATTAAGTTAGGAGGTTTTTTTTTTTTTTTTTTTTTGATACAGAAATAGTAGTGCAGTAGTTAAATAAACAATGTCAGTTACAGACTGAATGACAATTTTAACATTGGCTTGACTGAAGCAATGCACACACTCTAGTATTCTACTCAATCTGTATGTGCATTCTATTCTATTATAAGCACTCAATCAATCTCCACTAGCACAACCTTTGCAACCGCAATGCACACATTCTATAACTTTTTCTTCCCTTAGATGCTTAGGAACTCGGCAAACACATGTGGTTTGGAAGTTGTGATCCCGAGGTTGCATGCACCTCAAACAACATAGTCGTTCATAGCCAGGCTTTTTTCACTTCGCAATTAAATTACGGTCTGATAACCCTGATCCAAGCAAAACTCATATAATTCCTTAGAGATCTCTTTCCTCCTGTGGTAAAGGTCAAAAATATAACGACTCTTCTGATGACAAATTTTAAAAATAGACCACAAAGCCTCACACTTTCTTTTCCCGTCATGTGAGTCATTCTCGGCTTCTCTCATTTTGGCTTGTAGTTCATTTAGAGTAGGCTCAATCAATTCCCATCCCTTTGGGTACCTGACACGGTTTGTCTTCACCTTCGGCATGGTTTTATCTGTGCAATTATAGTGCCCAAGAATTAGAGGACATGGCATATTTACATACACGCTTAGATCTATATATATAGAGAGAGAGATTGGATTAGGTAAGATCACCCAATCCATATGAAATTATGAGATTGGATTAGGTGAGATCACCCAACCCATATGAGATTGTGAAATTATGTTAGGAGTTTATGTGTATTTTAAATTTCTACTATACAATTACGTACATTCAAAATAATTTTTTTTTAACACTTTCAGAAGTTAACAGCAGAAACGGAAAACGACGTCGTTTTAGCCATGGCACACAATGCATTGTGCGCCCTAGTACACGATATAATTTGCCTACACTACACTATCACTTTCAAAGTGATCCAACTTTCAAATCACATTATAATATAAGAAAAAAATATTATTTTTAGTCTCTTGACTATAAAACATGTATCAATTTTAGTCAATGACTATTAAGATTTTCAAATTAGGAGCATGACTATTCAATTTGTATCACATTTAGTCCTTGACTATTAATATTTTCAAATTAGGTGCATGACTATTCAAATTGTATAACATTTGGTCCTGTCGATAAATTTTCCAGTCAAATTTCCGGCCAAGTCATCGGTGACCGGCTAAATTATTTAATTTTTATTTTAAAAATTATTAAAATAATTTTTAAAATAAAAACCTTAAAAAATAGAAAAAAAAAAAAAACGACAGCCACCCCATCCCCTCCTCCTACGTCTCCGCCGGAGACGAAGGAAGAGGGGGTGGGGTGACATGCGTTCTCTTTCAAAATATTTCTTTTTCAAACTTTATTTGGTAATAATATGAACGTGGAATAATAATAAGATTTCGCCACATATATAAATGGTGTAGTTTGTCAAAATAGCACTTTTTGTAAATTGATCACATATTCACATTTGAATATATATATAGGCTATTTTTCTGGTGCAAACTATTATTAACGTGTGAACTAGTGGATCGATCGGGTGCATTGGTGAATTGGATCCGACGGCCTAAATGTGGTTGCGCATAGTCCAACAGTGCACCACGCCACATGAAGTACAAAAGTCCTTTTACGTAACCTCCCGACTTCCGTGTTTGAAAAGAGGTTTGAGGGTGCGTATTCCGCACTTTGCTTCATTATTTGCGGTGCTTGCATCCCGTGCATGGCTTTCCTGCCATGAGTGTTTTTTTTTATCGTAACTTTTGAATCGAACTTGTGCAGAAGCCCGTGCGATGATACCGAAAGCAGAGGCTAATCGCGCAAGGGCAGTGGGGTTAACACCTAACGATCAAACAGTATGGACACCCACCGTGGTTGCTTCAGTTCTGCCCCAAACCGGGCGCCTGTTTAAAACATTAGCAGAGGGAATCCAGTGCTACATCAACTACGCCCGAATCAGCGGGTTGTGCGCCACAGCTCTGTGAGGCGAGACCGGGACGGGGTAGTCTATCTGCGGTATTTGGTGTGCCGTCGTAGGCTTTCTAACAGAGTTAATTGCAAAGCCAAGATTGGCTTTAAGAAAGAAAGCTCCGGGGAGTTTGTTGTGTCTTCTTTATAGAAGCAATACCCACAAGCTTTGCTCGGAGTGCGGAGTTTGTGGAAAATATGCACGCCATAATGCTTGTAGTTTCCCTTTAAAGTAACTTTGGAATTGGTTTGTTGTTTTTTTTTTTTTTTTTTTTTTTTTTTTTTTTTTTTTTTTTTAAACTGGTTTGTTGTTTCTTTTTAACTTTGTTTCAATTTACTACACTTTTTATAGTTTTTAGTGAACTGCATGTCGCAGTGCAAAATGGTTCTTTCTTTGTCTTAAATTATGCCATTAATTCTTTTTCTACATTTCTACATTTTAGTAACATGTGCGAACTAGTCCTAGACTAGAATTTATTGCTGCATCCGCCAAATAAGTGCACTGGAAGTCCAACCGAACCCATCCCAAAGATAGTGTTGTTATTGTATATCGTGTGGTTGCAACGTGTGCCGTGCCTAACTCGTTTTTCCAATTTGACCACACTTTTAATAACACTTTGACCACATTTAGTAGGTTTCTGAGACCCAATTCAACTCTCTTGGCATAAGGGATGGTCCATGTTGCATACAAAATTACTGTCTTTTCCTTTCCTCCCACTGTCTGCTCCATACTATTCTGGGATTCTTGAAAACGATGATTACACTTAACATATATACACCCTACATAACAGCCAATTAGATTTCCTTGCACTCCAACCCATTCAACCCAGAAAGAACTCCATATGTATTGATCATTTTCCGCGTTTTCACCCACCGTTATTTCTTTGGTGTTGGTGGGTATTATTATTCAACTTAACCCAGAATAAAGACAGTGTAAACTAGTACTGTGATACCCCACTGCATTCCGGATGCATTGCATTACTAGAATTGATAATTCAATGACTGCATATTACCTTTAAAAAAGAATGATAGCATAGAATCAAAAATTCTAAACACTGCACTTTGCTGTTGTAAATTAAAACAGTAGCATAATAAAAACATTGCTATTGTAAATTAAAACAGTAGCATAATAAAAACATTGTCTTAATACTCCAGTGAGACCCCACCGACGCAACATTGACTAATCTGATCTAACCCAAAAATGTTACCAACAATATTGACTATAATCTACGCCATTAACGTGGTGACCACAAAAAGAAAAAACAAAAAAAATGGTTTATTGGTCTATTACATACGTAGTTTATTTATGGCTACGCGGTTCCCGCGGACACTAATCTCCGACGTTCTGATCACTGCAACATCTGCGCTAATCTCTGGCGTTCAAACCCCGCTTAGTAGGATATTATGCATGTACCGTTTGCGTAGGACGACTAGTTGCATGGAGTTTCACCGCTGCAGGCCAGTATCCCAGCTCGCGCAGTCCTGCCCAGCGTATGCCTCCATGTGTCGTGTAGTGAAGATCCCGGAATCCGACGTAAAAGTTTTATCCCTCCATGCCATTTGCATCCTCTTTGGTTTCATGTTTCGTAGGTGTGCAACGCGAAGACCCTGGAGCTTAGAGTCTATGTTGTTGACTCAAAGTGTTTTGTCAAAGTTATGTGCAAAAGGAATACCAGATCTATAAAGGAATACCAAGCCTAAGAGGAGTAGTTATTGAAGAGTACTAGTTCTAAAGGGAATTGTTATTGAAGTGTTTAGTTCTAGTCTGATTAGGAATAGCTTTATTATTCACGAATCTGTTAGGAATAGCTACTATAAATAGGGGTTGTCCTTTCTTGTAAAACTCAAGCATTCAACATTAATCTGGTGAGGTACGAGAGTCTTTGAGAATAGGATACTAAATTCCCCTAGAAAGTAGTGCATGTGTTTAGGTTTCAATAGTTTGGTAGGAAAGATCATTCTATTGTGTAATCTCAGGTTCCAAACAGTGTACTTTAAATATTGAGCTTTTAGTGGATTTAGGCAAGTTCTCAAATTGAGAAGTGCCTCGCAGATTAGGGTTGTTTGCCCGAACTGCGTTACAGATCGTTTGTGTTACAACGTCAGTTTCAACATCACTGTGTGCTGCGCTTATATATATTTCAATTGGTATCAGAGCCAAACTGCTTAAGTTATTAGCAGGATCCTAATGGAGTTTCCCAGAGAAGGACTGTCAAGCACTAGGCCACCTGCCCTCATTGGCACGAATTTTTCCTACTGGAAAGCCATAATGCAAATATACATCTTGGCACAAGGAGAAGGTGTCTGGAATGCTATAGAAAACGAATGGAAAACTCCAGTTGATGATAAAGGGAACTTAAAACCTAAAATTGACTGGAGTGAAGAAGAAAAAACAGAATATAACTTCAACTCGAAGGCAATGAATGCAATCTATGGAGCTGTGAGCGAAGATACCTTCAAACTGATTGCCTCCACTCGCATAGCCAAAATTGCGTGGAGTATATTGTGCGATCATCATGAGGGAAACACAACTGTAAGACAATCTAAGCTTCAGATGATACAAACTGAATTTGAAAACCTGAAAATGGAAGAGGAAGAAAGCATCACCCAATTCAGTGCCAGAGTTTTGAGTATATCCGGAGATGCATTCAACTTAGGCGAACCTATACCCGAACATAGGATCGTCAAAAAGGTACTACGCTCACTACCCGGAAGATTCCAAATGAAAGTCACCGCTATTCAAGAACATAAAGATCTAAACACCTACAAACTGAGTGATCTAATGGGAAACCTTCAAACATATGAGCTTGAGATACTGCAAAAAGGGAATAACAATGACAAAGGAATTGCGTTCCAATCAAAGCAGAAAGGAAGTCCAGAAATTGATACTGAAACCATAGAACAATCAATCGCTCTCCTAACAAAGAATTTCAACAGAGTTCTCAAACAATTCAACAAATTTAGAAACAAAAGTGCTTCAATCAATCAAGGAGACTTCCCAACTGGACAAAATCAATCTATTCCAAAAAGAAGAGACAGTTCAAATACAGAAGGGATACAGTGCTATGAATGCAAAGGTTTTGGACACATCCAATCAGAATGTGCCACATACTTGAAAAGGAAAAATAAAACATATATAACAACCCTAAGCGATGACTCAGATAGTGAAGAAGATGACAGCAACACAAATTTCGTAGCCTTCACCGCTAGCCATGAAAGCAACAATAGCGATGACATGCAAGAGTTACTAGAGGCATACACTCAACTAAATGCCAAGTGGGAGCAAATCATCAAGAAAAATTTGGAACTCGTGGAAGATAATCACTATTTGAAGAATGAAAAAGAACGAATAGAGAAACAATACAAAGAAGCTCAAAACGAACTATTAGACTTCAAAAACAAAGAAGCTAAACTACTACAAGAAATCAAGGAGCTTACCGAAAGACCTAGGACTCCAAGCACAGACACTAGTGAGAATCGTCAAACCGAGACACAGGAAGTGTCACAACAGCACTTCCGACACCGAAGAAGAATAAGGTGCTACTATTGCCACAAACTAGGACACATCAAAGCTCACTGCTACAAGAGACAGAATGATCTTTACTACAGACAAAACAATAGAGTGTGGCCAACACAGAACAGAAATAATAGTAAGAAAATCTGGGTAAGAAAAGACCAAAATATTGCATATACCTCCAAAACAAACAAAGAGCAAGATATATGGTACTTTGACAGCGGATGTTCAAGGCATATGACTGGAAATTCAGAAAAACTTGAGAACATCCAGTACAAAAATGAAGGGCATGTCACTTTTGGATACGGTGGAAAAGGACAAATTATTGCAAATGGTACCTTGAATGTCCATGGGCTGCCTAAGTTGTCAAAAGTCCTTTTAGTACAAAGCCTAAAAGCAAATCTAATCAGCATAAGTCAGCTTTGTGAAGATGAACTCAAAGTAGAGTTCTCTAGAGACAGTTGCAATGTGTTTAATCAGAATCATGATTGTGTCATGATGGGAAAAAGGTCTACAAACAAATGCTACACATGGGATAGTGATCTATCCGGTTTACAGACAACCATCAGTCAAACACAATTATGGCACCAACGTATGGGACACATAAATTTTCATGACCAAGGAGCATCCCCAGGCTATTCATCAAACAGTGTGATCATTGATGATGTAACTCCAGCAATAACCACTGATGATGACAAAAGTCCAAGAGTTGTTGAAACAACTATTCCAACACCTCTGACTAATGATATGCAGAATTGCAGAACAGAAACAGAGCCAAATGAAGAAAAGGATAAAGTCATTCTACCGTCTTAAAAAATCAGAAAAATCATCCTTTGGAAAATATCATGGGAGATCTCAATCAAAGAATAAAGACTAGAGGAAAGAAACAAGATTTCCACAAAATAAAAGGAGTATACTGCCACACCTCCAAGTTTGATCCCAAAAAACATTGATGAAGCCTTAAACTGTAACAGATATACATGATTGGGGTATAAAGTTGAGCTATGACATATGTGAAAAAAATATGAAGTTTGGATTGCACTTACAATGACTCCGAAATTCTGTCGAACAGTTGGGGCGCACCCAAATGCGAGAGGGGTTTGTATAAATGAATACAACTACGAGGCTGATTTCCAATCAAAACCCGTTACTGTCCGGTTATTATAATAATCTCCATGGAAGCCAATGACATGAGTCTTCGGGTGACTTCATTTTCTTGCTACCTCAACAACCCAGAAGAGAGCCTGGTGCGAAGGATCACCAGAAAATCAAGAAAAGAAGACGGGGAAATCAGCATCTTCAATGTATCTACCATGGATGAGCACGTCAGAACGGCTCCTCCGCCGTTTGATGACGGCGGTTACGGCGGATACGCGCCACCGTACCAATCAGCCGGGGGATTTCCGGGAGAGTACGATGAAGTGACAGTTGAGCACTTTCCTCAATCCGTCCACAGTCCCGATCCCTATGGATTCGGGTCGGATCCGCACCCAGCTTTCGGATCCTCTACCGTTCCGGTTTCAAACGGCAATGGAAATCCATATGATCTCGGAGAAGATTCCACCGGAATATTCATCTCTGATGGCCTGGTGCTTCCTCCTCCAAATGAAATGCATGAGGCGGGCTTTGCCCTGCATGAATGGCGAAGTTTGATTTACAGATCCAAAACCACTTGAACTTATCTATGATCAAATCCTCTACTTTTGTGACTGTGTGGATCTATTTTACCACACATTGGTAAAATGTACAGAGACAGTGAAGAATTCTCTTCACTCACACATTCAAATACAAGTTTCAAGGTTTTTTTTTTTCAAGAACTCCAGGAATCAAGTTTAGGGAGAGAAGAATCAACTAAGGGGGAGAAGAATAGGAAATCAAGCCACTATGAGATCAAGGTTTTTGCCAAAAATTTGACAAAGGGGGAGATTGTTGACTCAAAGTGTTTTGTCAAAGTTATGTTCAAAAGGAATACCAGATCTATAAAGGAATACCAAGCCTAAGAGGAGTAGTTATTGAAGAGTACTAGTTCTAAAGGGAATTGTTATTGAAGTGTTTAGTTCTAGTCTGATTAGGAATAGCTTTATTATTCACGAATCTGTTAGGAATAGCTACTATAAATAGGGGTTGTCCTTTCTTGTAAAACTCAAGCATTCAACATTAATCTGGTGAGGTACGAGAATCTTTGAGAATAGGATACTAAATTCCCCTAGAAAGTAGTGCATGTGTTTAGGTTTCAATAGTTTGGTAGGAAAGATCATTCTATTGTGTAATCTCAAGTTCCAAACAGTGTACTTTAAATATTGAGCTTTTAGTGGATTTAGGCAAGTTCTCAAATTGAGAAGTGCCTCGCAGATTAGGGTTGTTTGCCCGAACTGCGTTACAGATCGTTTGTGTTACAACGTCAGTTTCAACATCACTGTGTGCTGCGCTTATATATATTTCACATGTAACCAGCCAGACAGATGGTCTGCACCAACCACAAAATAAAAGTGAATAAACCCCGTTAGTATATATATGCATAAATCGAATGACTAAATGATACAGATGATCCGAATTCATTTTTTGACGGGGTAGGTCCATTTATGCATACTCAAGCACTGAAAACTCTGAAGTTTAAAATGAAAAGTTTAATAATCAAGCACACACAAGCAATGGCCTACTAGTCCACCTAATCCAAGAACGCATTCAACACAAAAGGCCTGCAATAATGTCCCAATCTCAATTTTTCTGAGCGCACTTGATTATTTGCGGTGATCATTACTAATGCACAGTCGTACGTTGTTCAACATTTGCAAACAGTGCACACCCCCCCCCCCGCCCCCCCACCGCCCCCAGTAACTTTGAATGTGAAGTAAGAACAGAACACATAACATGGGTCTGCATACCCATCCACCTCTTATGATGCCAAAATCTGAAATTTCTGTACAACCAAAGCCCATTATTACCCCCGAACACACACCCAAGACAGCTACTAAAACTTCCAATAAAAAACACAAAGAACTCACATTTCTGCCCCCATCGCTGCGCCAGCCTCCTTCGTGCCGTGCAGCCACCAAGGATGCTATTCCAGACGCCGCCCGGTCGAACCCACCGCGTTGACCAGAGCTAGTAGTCCGGCGACGCGACCACCGTTTGAATGATCGGGAATTGCATGCGACCTTGTGAGAGCCGGCCGATGGAGGGGTCACAGGCGGCAACTGATGGCCGGCCCTTCCATGCTTCGAGCGGCGACCACCCCCGATCGATTGTATTGTAGGATTGCGGTGGGGTTCAGAGCTGACCTCGATCGACAGACGCACGTTGAGTAAAGAACTGAGTGGAAGAGTCGAAGAAGAACTAAAACACCAAAATCCCACCTACACGGGCAAAGATCTAGTGAATCGGATGCACATATTGGACCGTGCACTCGTGTTTGTGTGCGTCGATTGTAACAGAATGAACGGATGGAAGCAATACACAAGTTCACATTTAATTTAAAGTTCACATTTGAACAACACTCTATATATATATATATATATATATATATATATATATATATAGGGATGCACTCAGGTGCGAATAAGTGCCCAGGAAGGAATATGCGAATGAATCAGTGCGCGACACGTGTCCAGATCTAATAGCTTAAAAAAATGCGGTGGCATTTTCGTAAATAATTAAACATCAATGTGCAAGTAAAATCACTTAGAAGTGCACCGACTTTCACTTATAAGTGCATGTAATTTTTCCTTGTTAGCATTCACTTCCCGCAAACATTCATGCACCTGGGTGTGCTTATAACTATAGGTGCAACTACTTATAACTATAGGTGCACCTACTTTCACCTATAAGTGCATGCAATTTTGCCTTGTTAACATTCATTGATCTGAGTTCAGCGGGTAGTAATACCCCTGAAAATCCCCTGCAAACATTCATGCACCTAAGTGCAACTACTTATAACTATTTGTGCAACTACTTAGAACTATTGGTGCAACTACTTATAAGTACAAGTGCACTTAGTATTGATGCTCAGTGTAAATTTTTACTTGCACCTATAATACATTTTACATGCACTTGTAATACATTTTACTTGCACTTTGATGTTCAATTATTTACGAAAATGCCACCGCGCTTTTTTAAAAAAATCAGTGTTTCTCATCATCAGATCTAGACACGTGGACAGACAGAATCCATTCCTATTTTGCTCCTGGGCGAAACATTCGCACCTGAGTGCGATTCTATATATATATATATATATATATATATATATATATATATATACCAAAAATTTCAAGCCAAGCATTTACACAGCACACGGGTTCGACACGTCGAACCTCATTCTCGATATCACGAGAATCACTATTCACAATAATGTAATTTATCGATAAATGTCACATGTAATCATCATAATAGTATATCTCATACAATACCACACATATATAATTTGGGAAAAAGTATTTTGGTGAACATAAACACTTACCAAAATGATGATCCTAGTAAATTGCCCAACCTCCAATTCATATCTTTCTTTCTCTCCTTCTCTTTCTTCTTTCTTTTCGTCTGTTTTCTTTCTTCTTCTTTTTTTTCCTTTGTCCGATTCATCCCCTACCCCCTTCTTATAATACTTGTCTTTCTTATAATAATAATAATTAATAATAAATAATTATATTACCTAATCTGCTAATCACCATCACTCCAATCTCTTTTTCAAAACGCTGCCGACAACTCTTAATCTATTTATCTGCTAAAATCAAATCAAAACGATCATTTTGCAGATGGTAAGAATTAAACCCAAAACCTCAAGCTTAACACACAATTTTCAAACCACCACACGATGCCAATTCATCTCTTGATTTACGTCTTATCAAATTATATATATATTTTCATATATATGAAAAAGAATATAAGACTTTCTTTTAGGCATAATAGATAAATATAACAATTTAATTTTTATAAGAATAATTTTCAAAAATTCTTTTGGCAAAATATGAAAATATTTTAAGGGTGAACTAAATAATATTTTCTCAAAATTATATTTTTGCTTAAAATTACCGAGTATCACAGGTGGCCACACGCATCGGCGTATGAGATCGGCGGTCCGACAATGGCGGCGCGTGGCGGAGGCGGCGGTAATGTGGCTTGCTAGGTCAGGCTTGCTGGAAACTTTAGAAGAGATGGGTAACACCAATTTGTCAAAAGAACTCACCAAAAGCAAGTAACTTGAAAAATTAGGGTTTGTGTGAACAGTAACTTTGCTGTTCACCACTGTTCATGCGACTGAAAAATACAACTTTGATGTTTGGCATACCCTAGGAAAGTAGGCTCGGATACCATGTTGAATTTGGAAGATGGAATGACTTGGCAGGTGGAGAATAACACCACCCGTCAGTTAGGTGGAAGCAATAATGAAGAATCAAGGAATGAAAAATGTATAGATAATGTATTATCAGTCTGTTTCTAACAAAGAAACATAGTATATATATATATATATATATATATATATATATATATATATATATATATATATATATATATATATATATATATATATATATATATATAAACACATATCTATAAGTAACTATTCAAAAATGACACCTATTCAAAAACTGACACAACCCTATAGATCAACCTAACTCTTTATTTTTCAACAATATCTTTAGGTGCATAAATTGTTGATTTGGAGACAATCGTATGCTTTTCGGGGCATTTTGAGTGAATCTCGAGTCAATGGGAGTCAAGGTGAAGTTAAGGAGATGGCTAAAATGCTTCAAAGAGAGCCAAAGAGTGGTACTTTCAATGGATTTGATCACAAGAACAAAACAAGGGAAAAGTGGAGCAAAAGACCAAAGAGTTGTATTCCCGTTAAATTTGGCGACAACTTAGTATTTTGATTATATCTCATTCTAGGAATGTTCGATTCAAGTGATTCTTGCATCATTAGAAAGAAAACTCGAAGGGCTACAACTCTTATGAAGACCGGACCTATGATGCAGAAGTAAATTCGACGCGTTGAAAAATTCCAGTAGGTTACACATAGAAAGGAGATCAAGATTCTATGCATCGAAATTGCATCCTGGGTGAGATTTAAGCTGTTCAGAAATTCCTATTCTACCCCTATTTGGCTCCCACTATAAAAAGTCCTATCTTCCCTCAACCCTAGACCATCAAGCTGCGTTGTTTGGAGACAAAAAGAGTGAGAGACATCAAGAGCTACAAGTCACCTTGAAAGAAAGAGGAAAAGCTAAGAAAATTCAGGAGAATCTCTTCCCCTTTTCTTTTACATTCTTTGTTTCTTGTAAACTCTTCAATATTATTGCAATGAATGCTATTCTAGCCATGAGTGGCTAAAACAACTTAGGGATTTTTGGGTGAAAGTGTTTATGAACCTATGTGCCTAGTTCTTAAATTAATTTATATATTTATATTTGGGTTTTATAACTTTTGTTGCAATTGTGTTCTATCTTGTTGATGCTAGTAATTAGATGCCCAAATTACTTGTTTCAATGCTATCCTTACGTCTTAATAGAAGTTAGGGCATATTTTAGGGCACCCACAATTGCACTTAACTATTGCACATTGGGAGATGACATATTAGTTAAGGATTTATCTCGAATACTTGTTCTTGAGTTATTGAGTGTTTATATCATGGGAATGAATATTCACTTGCATTGTTTTAGGTTGGAATTATGGGAGTAATTCCTTCCCTTGTATGCATTCTCACACTTGTTTGAACTCAGATTAAATGTTGCACTTTAGATTGGCACTAGGTGATTAAGCACTTGAATCCCAGAAACCCCACTCTTTCTCTATTGTTTTCATAAACCTGCTACCTTGTTCTCATTTATTAGTTTTACTTTTACAATCAATCAATCACCCTTTTCGTTAGGATTAGTTTCTCGTGAATAGATTAGTAGCTAGTGCTTGATACGCCCCGCTTCCCTGTGGATCGATAACCCAATACTCCAAGTATTTGTTTGTTAAAATATACTACAACCCATTTATGTGTGCAACCATGTGCGTTTTGATGAAGCAGTTTTTCCTTTTGTTACTAAGGATATTTTGTAGGCACCACAACTTTCGCACAGTGGTCTGTGGGCTGAATTAGTGCTCCAGCACACTACCACCGTGACTACCGCACCTGGGCAGCCTCACGCTGCCGTGCCAGACAGTCCTAGCAACGACACTGCCCCGCCTAAGCAGCCTGATCACCGAGATGAATACCGAGCTTGGGTAGTCCGAACATGAGCCGATCGTCGCGCCTGTACAGGTTGTTACACGGCCTCGTGGCCGACCACGAGGCAAATCCGTGAAGTCCACCACTCGAACTCACGCGATGAGCACTCGTAGTCGGTCTTAGGCTCATCCATCAGCTTTAACTGCTCAGGTTTGTCCTACGGATCCCACTTCTTACATTCAAGCGGTTAAATATCCAGAATGGTGTGAGGCTATGGACCAAGAACTTAATGCCCTTCAATAGAATCAGACGTGGTGTCTAGTACCTTCTCAGACAGGTATGAACATTATTGGGTGTAAGTGGGTTTATCGCACCTAACGGAAGGCTGATGGATCAATTGAGACGCACAAAACAAGCGAGATTAGTAGCAAAGGGGTTCAAATAGGTACCTGGTCAGGATTTCTTTGATACATTCAGCCTGGCGGTAAAGCCCACTACTGTTAGGTTACTTCTTTCCTAGGCTTTATCCTCTAGTTGGGTTATTATACAGCGTGAAGTCTATAATGTCTTTTTAAATGGAAATCTGTCTGAAACTGTCTATATGAAATAGCCGCTTGATTATATTGATTCTCAATATCTCAATCACGTTTGCTTATTGGAACGCTCTCTGTATGGCTTAAAACAGGCTCCTAGAGCATGGTTTAACCGCCTACACACATTTCTACTGTCTGTCAGGACCTAGTTGCTCAATTGATATCAAAATTATCTATTGCTTTTAAGATTAGAGATCTTGATGAACCTGGTTTCTTTCTTGGGTTTGAGACTATTAAATGTGATGATGGAATTTTACTTTCACAATAGAGGTATATGAATGATATCTTAAAATGTGCTGGAATGGTTGAATGCAATAAGTTATCCACGCCAATCTCTGTTTTGAAAACTATTTCATTTAATAGAGATTTGTATAATGATCCTACGCAGTACAGGAGTCTAGTTGGGGCACTGTAGTATTTAACTATTACTCGTCCTGATCTCTCATTTGCAGTCAACCAACTATGTCAACACATGCATGCCCCTACAATTTCACATTGGGAGCAACTAAAACGGGTGTTAAGGTATGTTAAGGGAACTGTCAGTTTTGGTCTACCTATCTAGAAGTCAGTCTCAAGAGAACTTCATGCATTCTCTGATTTTTACTGGGTTGGCTGCCTAGAAGACCGAAAATCCACTAGTGATTTTGCTGTTCTGCTTGGATCCAATCTTGTATCTTGGGTCTGTAAGAAACAAATAACTGTTGCTAGATCTTCTACTGAGGCAGAATATAAAGCTCTAGCAGATATTTGTGCTGAAGTAATTTGGGTAGTCTCGAT